AATATGTAAAAAAAATGGATTTCAGATAATTTGTGTTTGACTGTAGAGTTAATTATATTGAATTAAATAAAATTATTTTAAAAAATTTATACATTTATGTCTCAATATATTTTTATTCTTTTCTTTTAAATTAATCTATCTCTTTTGTAACTTTATTCGCTGCATTATTATTTAGAAATTTGCCTGTATATGAATGGATGTGTGATGTATCTATTGCGAGTGTCCGTAGTATGATGAGCTCAGATCCGTGAGTTCACTAAACCCAAATGACTATACAGAGTTATGCTTGCGGGATTATTCGTATTTTCTTCATATTATGGTTAGCTTATATATGATGTATGAAAAGAAAAGATACCGATCGAAATATCATCACTAGACACGTCTCAAATGTTTTCTTTTCTCGTTCGAAAACAAAAACCGATAATAAAAGAAACACTCAAATGCTGATATACGCAACCAATGTTTCAGAAATACGTATCACAATTTAAATTAAAATACAAATAGAAAACCTTCATTTAGTATCTTTTTATATTTCGACTGTCAAAAAACTTTACATTTGTTTAAATAATAATTCTTATGTGCATGCTATTTATTAATTTTTAATGATTTTATATTACAGAGCAGCTTTATTTTTGCACTTAAAACAGCGAATTACACATACCACTTTTCAAAGAGCAAAGACGAAGATAGGCACTCGTCACAGGCGGATCAAAGCCGATGTCCTTTACAGCAGTTAATACGTTTACGAGCTTCTTAGTTCCATTAACTAGACACAAGAAGGAATCAACGATGGCGTTCACCTCCAGGTTTCCCGTCGTGTACCCAAAGAGCCAACTACGAATCTCACACTTCACGTCTCCCTGAGAAGTCGGGTCCGGACTTAATCGCGTAAGAACACGTCAGATGCGAAAGGACTTCCATTACAGTTTTAGAGTAGGTACTACGAAGTGTATAGAGCAAAATGGCACAACTGTATCAGTACAAAATAACAAGCGAATACACATGATACCGTCATATTTTACAATTGCAAATCGAAAAAAGAATACATAGCTAGGCACTATTTTTCAATGGAAATTTCGAAATCTTTTATTTATAATATATATCACTTTTATTATTTTGTCGAGTCTCTCACATCAATATACCTAAAAAAATACTGTCGAAAAAATCAAAATTCTAACAAATACCAAAAAAAATATTACAAACTTACACTTTAACACAGGAAATAATATCTCGTGTACAAATTATGTGTAAAATTTTCTGACAATAATCAACACAATAAATAACAATTTTTATTTTAATTTTTTATTATTTTTCATATTCTTTGTAGAACAAAAAAAATTTTTTTAATTAAAAAAATGTATAGCATAAACTTATTCTTTCTCTCTTATATCCGTCAAAAAGTTCTAATATATTAAATAAAACGAGTATTTTATACTATTTCCAAAAAATAAAATAAAATCTTTAAATATTTTCAAATATTTTGTGTAAAGAAAATGATATTTGGAGAGACATAGTCTATTACGCTAATAAAAGAAATTCCATTTTAAGAAAAATGAAAATGAGTCAAAATGTTACATCTTCTGTGTTTTGTATCTGCATAACTGCCTTATGTGTCGTGTTCATTTTTAAACGCGCTAAATTAACACTTAATTAATACGTTTACGCTCGCGGTAAAAACTTTTAGCATAGTTATAAAAGTACGTTGAATTCGCTTTTTCGTTAAATTCTGGAGGAGCAGCGCTAAAAGGTGGTCGCCTATTATTATTATCACAAGTGATAATAATTTACGTACCTTGCGTAGCAAAGTACGAATTAATTTGTCGGCGATTGCTCGCCGATGAAAAAAATCGAAAACTCGGAATTGTTCTCTTTATTTCGCTATTAAACTGCTGGAAGAAAATGTGTTCGATTTTAAAGATTACTTTCAATTTTATCCTTTATATTGATATTTAATGAATAAAGTGAAATTCATTTATTTTTGTATTTAGAAAATGAAAGAAGAAAACGAATTGTAATCACTAAATTTAATTTTAAATGAATTACGAGTATTATCAGGAAAATCTCCCTTCCCCCTCCCTCCCTCCCTCCCACCTTCTCTCTCTCTCTCTCTCTCTCTCTCCCCTCCCCCCCCTCTCTCTCTCAGTTATATGCACCGAAACGACGTGTGTCCATAGCTTTCATTTTCATTACTTCCAAGCAGCTATTAATTACCCACAGTATCGATAATCGATTCTCACCGAGCAGAATCATGAATAAGAAAACGAAGAAACAGCTAAAAATGAGAATAGCGTTCACTGTTTCGCGCTTCGACGATAACGCATACCGTTTCTTTCGCGCGATAATATCGATGATAACTTTTACGATTTAGTTCATTGATTCTCGTTTTCATCGCTCTCGTTTGAGCTTCTTCCACCGCATGCAAGCATCTCGCGAAACTTTGTACCCTTCGTATTATTGTATGCCATAAATACGCTAAACAGAATAGGTGTGTAGAAAAGAACGTGCAGATATTAAGTTTCGCCGAAAGAAAGTATCGGAAGCGGCATAAGTATAAGTATTGCTATACCTTTTAAAAATTCTTTATATCTTTCCAATTATTTTTTACCTTTTTTTATCTGCAATAACGAGATTATCTTCATTTCTGGTCTTCAATTCCGGTCATTCTTTGCGATTATTATTATTTGATTCTGTTTTTAATTGTGTTGAATATCTCGTTGAAAGCTCGCAATTTATTATGGTTTCCTTAACTATCTTAATCAAGAATAATTAAAATGCTTAAAATTTAATATATTAAATTTTCTACAGTGTTTAAAGAATGCTCATTAGCATCAATAACATTAAATTGTTTGTGAATTTAATTAGTGATATTACGTACTCCAGTTCAGGATTGTATTTCAACACCAACACATAATCGGCGCGTAGTTTGTTTGAACTGGAATTCGTCCAAATTCACACAAAAATATTATTAGACACAAAGACTCGCTTTGAATAAATATGACTTCTTTGCTTATTTTTATTAATGTATTATTTTTATTAATGTATGAAAATGTTGACGTACACAAATTAAGTTTTACTCAAACAACTGGAAAAGTTATGGAAAATTATTCTCTTATCATTGATGATATCAATCAATCGTCTCAACGAGGATCCGCGATTTTATTTGATTTGTATAACCGTGTGAAATTTGATGGGTATCACGAGTTATTGCGAAGGGGTGTATACATGAAAGTTATGACTTGGTGAGTTGTTTACGACAACTGTAGAAACTGGGAAAATTCCCAGAGGCTCGCCAAGTATCCCAATACCTTTCGTGACTGTGTAGACTGTGTTCTACAGTCTACACGACTGCACTATATGTATATGCTATATATGTACGCGCGGAAAATCCGTAGCCAGGCGTTAACGTGTTTTATGGTGGCCGAAAGGAGGGCGAACAAAAGTTTACCGCGCGTTGCCTGCAGAGCGTCGCAGTGACGCCGCGGAGGAGTCCTCCTTTCATCCAACACCCTCTTTCGAGGCTATACTTCCGTCCACGGGTAGTTGTATTTTTCCGCGGACAGGTTACAGCCGCCGTGCCGACCGTTTCCACTGCATGCGCTACTATAACGTAATGCACTTTCTGAGAGACACTTAAATAGTCGTTAACACGCGCGATTGTCTAACTTCGCTCGGATACGTTTCGCTCGCGTCGGAAAGTCTCGCACGTGTGTGAGACGACAGAATTTATATCCCTCTGCTATATAGCTACGAAACTCATTACAGTATCTGAAAAATTTGGAACAATTTTGCGAATATTATTACACCGAGAAAAAAATATTATTGCAATTATAATAACAATTTAGCTATAATTTATCATTTTCGGGACCAATTATATATATCTTGTATAGAACTACAAATAATTGTTATTACTAACATATAGCAGTAATAAAAAATGGAGCTTCTAACCATAATTATTTTAGCATACAATTATAATCAAACAAATATCCAATATTTTTCTTTTAGTATAATATATAAACATAATGTTGTACCGTACAACTGCAGTAAGATCAATATGTAGCAAAAAGTTTTCATCCAATATATTTGATCGTATATTAAAAGAGAGATCGTATATTCAAAAGAAGCGCAATTTGTTTTCAATGTGTTATGAGAATGTCAAATATTATTAATTCTTAATGCAATATATAAAAATGTATCTTAAATTACAATTTAAAAAAATAAAATGTTTCATCATATTAATACGTTTGAATATGTTTAATTAAAATCTTTTGCCAATACTCGGTCGGTTTATTTTAATTATTAAAATATATTGTGACTTCAATTAACTAAAAAAGTATTAACCTCCTGTGCAATGTCGCTTATAACGCACAGACAAGTAATTATTTATTTCCAAACGTATGCGTTTACATCTGAATATTAGCGTGTAATCTCCGCCACGGCTATTAACCAGATTAATTAATTTACTAGGCAAATATCTCGATATACTGAATTGACTCAAATATTCTGTCTGCTTCATGAATGAGATCTGTTTCGCAAACTTAGTCACTGTTTGAACATCAACCAAACTGACGAAAAAGCTACCTACAAAATAAATTATTACAATAGATATCCTAATAGTTCAATAGCCTAAAGTAGTTTACTAAAAAATTGATAAAAATGAATTTTGAAATTTCAAACTCAAAAACATATTATTTAAAAAATCTGTACATAATTTTAAAAAATTTTTTGAAAAATATTATAAAACCGTTCTCTCTAAAAAAAAAATATAAACTAAACAGGTATATCATAATATTTCTTTTACGCTTGTTAAAGAACCTAATACTCAGCAAACAAACTAACATTACTTGATCATTTTAATATCAAAATAATGATAAATGACGTCAGCTTATTCTAATCTCTATTCCTTATAAAAATTTCCTCTGTATTTCCGAAATTAATAATTTAACGAGATCAATAATAGAAAAGTAAGCAGAATGTCATACAATTTTGGATTTTTTTTTCAGACCACGTGCCTAACAGAACTGCCAGATGTGGCGCCTTGCAACGGCACCGTGCGATTACCGCCACCGTGCGAGGACTCGCCTAGCAGCGGCAGCAGCAAGGATCGCAGAGACGAGAGTCCTCGCAGGAGATGTCGGGTGTTGGCGCCTGTCCTGCTCCTAGTGGTCGTCCTGCTCCTCGGAGGCCTCTGTTTGCCGTTTCTACTACAATCCGCGCCTGCCACGCACCAGCAGAGGCTGGACGTGATCAGGAGGATTCTCACTGAAGTGCCTCTGATCGACGGGTAAGTGTTTTTATTACTGAATTGACGATAAAACGTACCGTTGGCCAAAATAAAAAAAAAAAATATATATATATATACAATATTTTTAAATATGTAAAGACATTTGAAAAATAATATAAATTGAATTGCCTATTATATGATTTTGTTTTCGGAGTATATGATCTCACTATAATATAATAGCAAGTAATTATTACAAGCTATCATATATTACATTACATAATCATATGGATATAATCCCCAGATACTCGAAATCGAATAAATCCCATTCGATTCTATCTTGCTTATTAATCTCAAGTAACATTGCAATATGCAGACCAATATATATTTCGAACATATTATTCAAGTATATAATTCCATAATTGTGATATTTAAATAGAAAACATATCTCATCGCTACTAGGATATTACAAAGATTATGTCATTATAAGATTCAGTTTGTTGTTATAATAACAAAAAAATTTAATTCAAAAACCAAAAACGCGAACAGATGATACGGATGTTAAAAATAGAAATAAGTAGAATTAAGTATCTATATAAATTATACTAAAAATATAAAAAAAGCAAAACAAGTTTCGATTACAATCTTCATCAGTCATAAATATTAAAGAAAAAAATTACACAAATTTTTAAGCATTGATAAACATTAATTGTTCATCTTACAATGGACATAGATTCCGATTCTATTTCACAACTTCATTAGACAAAATAAAATATTATATATAAATACATAATTTATAATTCATATTAGATTGACGTCTAAATAAATAAGTTAATTATGAGAAATAATATTCGATTTCAAAGCGAATCTTAATGCTTAAATATTTCAGAATGAATTTACATATCCAATACTGTAAAACCACATAACGAAATCTTTTTCAATTTTAAAACACAATCATGAACAGAATATTTAATTGTATCTTATATTAAATTGACAACCAATTTAATAATTTTTGATACTCTAAGTAAGTATCATAGAAGAATATTAATAATTTTATAGCATTTTAAAAACTGTAAATAATTTGCAAAAAAATATTACCTCAGCCAGAATTCAAATCCAGATATTCCGTATTCCGTGCAAGCGTTTTCGTAATTCAACCGAGGCTTCGGCTATATTTGTCACAATAAAATAATTTGCAGAAGAGATAACATTTATAATATTTATAATATTTATAATATT